AGCATAATTGGCAATATCTATGTCATATTGCGTCCACGCATGAATGAAAGTGAATTAAGGGTGATTAAAGAATATCAAAGTGACCTAATATTACCACGGAGGAAGACCAATGAACATCAGTATAACCCGATATCTTTAACGGAAAGTTCCCAATAGACCATGGTTTGACAGTAAACTCGGATTAAGAATAACAGTTGACAAATAACCCGTGGTCTACTGTACAACATATCACATGTTTTCTAACAGATCGTGAGTTGATACTGAGACCTGTAGTCTCATAAGGCATGCCAGTTGAATCAATTTTCTCATACTAGTTGGAAATGGGATTTTTAAAAATGATCTCGAGTGATTAAATTAATTTCTCCTAAAGAACGCTGCATGTTGCGGGCAGGATATAAAATGGAATTTTATAAAAATCAGTAAAAACAAAATTGACTTTGCCTTCCGCCTGATGCTGCATTGATAATTCAAAAGTCATCGTGTTTGTTTGTAAATCAATTTAACGTTGATGAAATCGACAAGGGCAATATCTTACGAAACTCAATAACACTCGCCATGGTACTAGATGATAAAAAACAGCAAGCATGTTCGTTTGGCCTTACTTGGAGGGCGCACTCGCTTAAAAATAAATATGTTTCATTATGTTCGCCGAGGAGACGTACAAACTGATAATTCATTTGAAATCTTGTTCATGATATGTAGGAATGACTGAGAATCTACCACTAATGGACAGTTGATGTGGCTGTAGATATCTACTGTTTAATATATATTGTTAAAGGCTTAGCTGTTACGCTAGGTTTTTCATCGTCTCGCCGTCCGTCCGTCGAGCCGTCCGTCCCAAACCTTTGGTTAACGTTTTTTTTACTGTCGTTCACTGAACAATTGTTTTTGGATGTAGAGACTTTACAAAAGGTTCTTTAGGGTCTAAGTTTATTGTTTTAGGCAGAAAATGAAAAGCCTTTTTAATTAGTTTGCCTGAATTGTTCTGGCATTTTTTTCTGTCTAAACTTTTTTTAAACGATTCACCACTATTTTACTATAATAAAATATGAATTTAAACTTGTCTTGCTTGGTAGTACTCGATATGCTTGTTTATGAAGATAATTAACACTTAGGACACCTGAGATAAATGTTTATTTACGTGTCAGTGTTACAGGTATACACATTAGAAGTGGTATAATATACAGATAAACAGCCAGCTTGACTTATGGGACAAAATAAGGTTAAAAGTATTCAAATGGTTAAATTCTGAAAAGTTTGGACATTTGTCTGACTCGATAAAAGTCATCTTTCATCAGAATAATACCACTGTCTATACATTCTATTATACAATGACGCTAGTCTCTTACCGATTTTGTCTGAACTTATCTGACGCCATAACAGGACAGGAACAGGCTAGTTCAATTTCAAATGATTTATATAGTATCGCTATAGTAACCGAGGGCCTTAACGCGAGACTTGACACAACAGCAGAGTTCTATTCTTGATCAGCTCTAGTCGGGATATCAGAAGGTTGTAGTGCCGAGAAGGTATCGACAAGTTCTGCTTTAGACAGTGTGTACAAAGTAAGATGTCGACTTCACTCAAATCCCGCGCCATAGAAATTGAGATTCATCTAGATTCTTATAAACAGTAAAAGATATATGTGACTGAAAACGACATGGAAAAATAATTCTCCGTCTGGGAACGAACTTCCTCAAGTTAGAACATCTACAGATAGTTGGTAGACTATTTCCATAGACGGAGAGCCCTTGTACGGAACAAACAGATATGATGAGTGTCGTAACCTTTCAGTTAGAATGATCCAATATTCTAAACTTTTCATGTAGTAAGTGAACTTTTACTTCAACATCTTAACATTTGATGAGGCTGAAAACGATTTCACTAACTCATTGTCTCAATTTACAGTGTTTCGATCCAAAGCATAACTGAAGATTTCTTCATTTGTCTGGAATAATTTCACCTATAGGTTAATATCAATTGTAGGGACTTTTCATCAATTCCTGTACCAGAACGGCACCCAGTGGAAAGTTAGAAATATAGCGTATTACGAAAACCAGAAAAAAATGGACAAAGAAAATTTCCCTACGCATGATTATCCGTGATTCAAAGATGAACAAATTATAATGTTTCTCCATACGCTTCTTTCAATCTGAAAACAGGCCAACACTTGAATATCAACAATCACAACAGTTTTGGCATCTGAAATGTAACATTATGAACAAGTCTGACGACTGGATATCAACAGTATGAACAAGTCTGACGACAGGATATCAACAGTATGAACAAGTCTGACGACAGGATATCAACAGTATGAACAAGTCTGACAACAGGATATCAACAGTATGAACAAGTCTGACGACAGGATATCAACAGTATGAACAAGTCTGACGACAGGATATCAACAGTATGAACAAGTCTGACGACAGGGTATCAACAGTATGAACAAGTCTGACGACAGGGTTTCAACAGTATGAACAAGTCTGACGACTAGATATCAACAGTCTGAACAAGTCTGACGACAGGGTATCAACAGTATGAACAAGTCTTACGACAGGATATCTACAGTATGTACATGTCTAACGACAGGATATCAACAGTATGAACAAGTCTGACGACTGGATATCAACAGTATGAACAAGTCTGACGACAGGATATCTACAGTATGAACAAGTCTTACGACTGGATATCAACAGTATGAACAAGTCTGACGACAGAATATCAATAGTATGAACAAGTCTGACGACAGGATATTAACAGTATGAACAAGACTAACTACTGGATATCAACAATATGAACAAGTCTGACGACTGAATATCAACAATATGAACAAGTCTGACAACAGGATATCAACAGTATGAACAAGTCTGACAACAGGGTATCAACAGTATGAACAAGTCTGACAACAGGATATCAACAGTATGAACAAACAAGGATATCAACAGTATGAACAAGTCTGACAACAGGATATCAACAATATGAACAAGTCTGACGACAGGATATCAACAGTATGAACAAGTCTGACAACAGGGTATCAACAGTATGAACAAGTCTGACAACAGGATATCAACAGTATGAACAAGTCTGACGACTGGATATCAACTGTATGAACAAGTCTGACGACTCGATATCAACAGTATGAACAAGTCTGACAACAGGATATCAACAATATGAACAAGTCTGACGACAGGATATCAACAGTATGAACAAGTCTGACGACAGGATATCAACAGTATGAACAAGTCTGACGACAGGATATCAACAGTATGAACAAGTCTGACGACTGGATATCAACAGTATGAACAAGTCTGACAACAGGATATCAACAGTATGAACAAGTCTGACAACAGGATATCAACAGTATGAACAAGTCTGACGACTGGATATCAACTGTATGAACAAGTCTGACGACTCGATATCAACAATATAAACAAGTCTGACGACAGGATATCAACAGTATGAACAAGTCTGACGACAGGATATCAACAGTATGAACAAGTCTGACGACAGGATATCAACAGTGTGAACAAGTCTGACGACTGGATATCAACAGTATGAACAAGTCTGACGACTGGATATCAGCTGTATGAACAAGTCTGACGACAGGATATCAACAGTATGAACAAGTCTGACGACAGGATATCAACAATATGAACAAGTCTGACAACAGGGTATCAACAGTATGAACAAGTCTGACAACAGGATATCAACAGTATGAACAAGTCTGACAACAGGATATCAACAGTATGAACAAGTCTGACGACAGGATATCAACAGTATGAACAAGTCTGACGACAGGATATCAACAGTATGAACAAGTCTGACGACAGGATATCAACAGTATGGACAAGTCTGACGACAGGATATCAACAGTATGAACAAGTCTGACGACAGGATATCAACAATATGAACAAGTCTGACGACTGGATATCAACAGTATGAACAAGTCTGACGACAGGATATCAACAGTATGAACAAGTCTGACGACAGGATATCAACAGTATGAACAAGTCTGACGACAGGATATCAACAGTATGAACAAGTCTGACGACTGGATATCAACAGTATGAACAAGTATGACGACTGGATATCAGCTGTATAAACAAGTCTGACGACAGGATATCAACAGTATGAACAAGTCTGACGACAGGATATCAACAGTATGGACAAGTCTGACGACTGGATATCAACAGTATGAAAAAGTCTGACGACTGGATATCAACAGTATGGACAAGTCTGACGACTGGATATCAACAATATGAACAAGTCTGACGACTGGATATCAACAGTATGAACAAGTCTGACGACTGGATATCAACAGTATGAACAAGTCTGACGACTGGATATCAACAATATGAACAAGTCTGACGACTCGATATCAACAGTATGGACAAGTCTGACGACTGGATATCAACAGTATGAACAAGTCTGACGACAGGATATCAAGAGTATGAACAAGCTGATTGTGATATTTAAGTACCTCTTTCCTCTGTGAAATATGTGAAATAAACAATTTAATGTTTAAATTAGTAGTTGTTCTCGATTCACTACAGCTACCTAGATAATGTTGAAATCAATAATTCAATATATACTTATTGGCTGTCATATTTAGAACAACACCTACATGTTGATATAAAGATGTGTAATGACCAGCGCAAATCTACTGATAAATACTTATACATGTACAAATTACTTAATGCATGATATGGTTAACATTGCCCATCTCGTGCCACACCAGTCGGCGGCCTGTACAGTGTAATTTAAAACATGTAGACTGACAAACAAACTGCAACAGTACTTATAAATATATATAAGTAGTTTTTACTAATAAATAAAAAAGGAAGAAAATTTCTACAAAATCTCAAAAATTCTCAATCTAAAAGAAATATATTATTTTTAGAAATCAAGTACATTGTTTGAAAGAGAATTTTTTTTACTTAATTTGAAATACCAAGAGACATAAATTACGTCCATATGTCACAACATACAAGTATACTTACTGCTGCCATCGGTGGCGGCCCGATGGATCATATGCTTTTTTTCCACCATTTTTTGTCACTTATATTTTGAAGAAACTAAAAAAATCCAATAAAAATCCGAAAGGTTTGACTATACAAATGAAGAAACTATGAATATTCGTCACATTTTGGTTTTAGTTTCAAACCAGCGACCCTTCTATTGTTTTCTTTCGGATCCACACACAAAGGTCTACCGTTCTTACGTAGAACCTGGTTTCAACTGATATCAAAACAACACATACACAGTACCGAAGAGCAACACGGCTTCTGAGAGGAAATCGATCGCCGTAGGTCCGTTAGACGCATGCGCCAGTTTTACTGAGTCTGTGATCGATGTATTTGGAAAACATCGGAGGTTACCACTTGTGCATTGGTGCTGAAAGCTTCCGACTCGCTTCGTTGTTCCTGTAGAGACCGTTGCGGCAGCATAATTCCCCCGAGTAGGGACCAGCGTAATCGGAAAACATCACGGATTTCATATTTGTGTTAACATTCGAAAATGGCTTGCTAATGAATTCCACATTGAATTAATAATGTTTAACACTGCTAAGGGTATCTGTTAGGATGGGAAAACTTCAAAATAATTTGATGAGCGTTTTATTCAGAAATCGTGAAAATTAATGTACGCTGTATAAATAGGACGGGGATTTACGTTTTGATTTTTGTAAAATTAAGAATGATGAGACTTTTTCTTGTTGTTTCCTCCGCTAGTTCTCTCCTCCGATTGTTTATTGGTTTTATAGTAGAACCTCTAACTGATCTGGACGAAGGATCTCCTGAAAATATTTCATTCACAAAGCTCTTCCACTTACTTGACGCTTTTGTTGAAAATATTTATGATATATTTTTTCCTGCACACTATTATTAGAATAACGGAAATTATTATCGTTTTCTCAGAAGGGGTACTGGGATGTGTTCTTCCAACTAATCGTAAATGACCTTGATCGTTATAGCTAGACACACAACCCGCGGACGAAATCTGACATGGGACACCGACACATGCGCAGACGAGGATACAGTGTCGGTATCGTTACCAAGGGAAATGCCATTGATGAAATATTGATGATATTAGCTCTATTCACGCTGGTGCACCGCCCTGTGTTTGTATTGACGCATATATCTATAGATATTTAATCCTATACGTCCAGGCCGTCATCCTGACGGTCCGTCCACAATTGTGATATGTAAAAGGTCGCTGTTTCAGACGTAAGAGTATGAAGTACACTAATCTATAGTATCCTTTACCGATGGACACTGTTTAACACGTGGGGCGATCAGTTTGTAGTATAATAAAAATAATTTCTGATATTTTTTTTTTGCTGCAGCCATGGTCATCTTCGATACAGTTGAAATTTGTACCGGGGTAATTTTCCCTTTGATGTTTCACATTTCAATAAATCAAGGTTCACCTTGATTATGCAAAATATGAAGCAACGGCAGTTTTTCACAAATGACCCAACTATCAAAAAATTTATACTTTTAAAAAGAATGTGACTTTTTTTTCAAAACACTACTGAATCTCTTGAACAAGAGACTTATAGGGTCTGTACCGCTCACCTGGTTGAGTTTGCTGAAATGAATTTATTTCAATTAAGGAAAAAGTATTTAGAAAACTTGTATCGTGTCCTCGTTATAGGCTCAACCCTCGTCCCAAACGGGGTTACATGCAACATTTGTAACAAAAGATCTTTTCACCAAGGATGTCTTCAGCTCCAACATAAGAAATATTTTAAAGAATTTGCCATACTGGGTCCAATCCTTTTCACCTCAGAGGCCTGACCACTCTATTTATACAAGATTGATTTTCCATAAGCATGCTTCACACCAAATTTGGACAATATCTTGCAATTCCTGAAGAACAAGATAGATTTCAAAGAAATTTAAAGTTTTCAATTTTGGGTCCCACCCCTCTGGTCTCAGGGGGCCATGGCCCACCGTTTACACAAAACTAATTTCCCTGCACCCAAGCATGCTTCAGATCTATTTTGGACAATATCCAGAAATTCCTGAAGAAGATAATTTTTTAAGAAATGATTAAGATAAGGGGGTGGGGCAAGACCCACAGTTTATACAAAATTAGTACCACTTCCCCAAGGATGCTTCAGACCACGTTTGATCAAAAAGGAAGAAAAAGCTTTATAATTGAAAATGGAAACAAAATATATATGGCAATATAAATCATTTCCATTCCATTCGCTGTGTGTTTATATCTGAAGATAAGGCATGTAATGTTTAAATCCTTGCCTTCAAAAACGATTATATTTCTTCTGAATAAAAGAACTATGTATGCTTGTTTTATAACCAAGGAATACTTACTCACACATTTTCAGAGATGAATAAACTGCCTCGTTTTTATTGGATTCGTTAACTTCACAATACATGCACTCAGTATCAAAAAAATGTCATAGATATTTGATTATTTGTTCAACTTAACCTTTGTTCGAGTTTTCTATTACATTTTTAATTACGTCGTGATGACAGTCGTGTGTGTGGGCTATATGATCGAGGAAATAATGTAGTGTTGGGATTAAGGTATGGACAAAAGGGAACTCACTCGCCTTCACTTACTACGAAAGTTTTTGGATATATAGGCTTGAACGTTTCTGGAACAGGTAGGATAACTGAATTTCTGCCTGACAATCGCCCAGTTGATTTTTATCCGGAGTTTGTGCTCCTGTCTATCTGAGTCTAGGAGAGGGATGCAACAGTATGATGCAGGTTTTGTCGTGTTTGACATATTCTGTATCTGTAACCTGCTACACACATATAGGAACGGCAATCTCGGTTAACTTGTTTGAACTGATAAGTTTGGTTTTTGTACAAGAGTGTGAAATTATTAAAATTCTTAATTTGTAGGTTTACAAGAAACACTACCACCTATTACAACTGAGCACCTTTTGGTTTTTAATTAAACTAGCTCTTAAAAATATATATTCTCTCTCTCTGTATATATATTTGCTAACTATATATAGAATTGTCTATATCTATATCAAGAAACACTACCACCTATTACAACTGAGCACCTTTTGGTTTTTAATTAAACTAGCTCTTAAAAATATATATTCTCTCTCTCTGTATATATATTTGCTAACTATATATAGAATTGTCTATATCTATATCGGTGAATGTAAGATCTATAGCGTCCGTCCTATAAGGTATCCCATTTTCTACATCCATCGTTACAACACTGGGAAATGCTGTACAACAGCTACTAGAAGTGAATGTGTTAAGAACGATAACTCATTTATTGTGAGCTACGTTTCTTTCCGTTTTAAATGCGCTCTATTTTACAATGAAATCTGAAAGAAACGACCTGTAGTGTATGTGAAAGTACCACGTGATTATGTAGCTTTGATAACTATAGGCATTTTAACTATGCAATGGGTTGTAGTGTGATACTGATTGTAGAGCGAATGTATCAACTATATAAACACTAATTATACACTTAGTCAGAAATACAGGGCCGCCAATATATAAAAAATATTCAATGACAATTCAACAAGATGTTTAGTGTTTTTTTTTTTTTTTTTTTTGCATGTAGCGAAGCTATACAAAGTCGACAGGAACTGTATCATTTTAAAAGATGTGCTCAAAAAGGCTTTCCAAAAGTCTCGAGAAAAGTTTGACTTTAGCTGTCTCCTTTTAACAGATACGTCATCAAATCACAGACGTGTTACCAAGGACATAAACAAACCAACGAGTTTCTATTTGGCAAGAAAACGCCAATATCGGGTATGGTCACCACGTTTCTGGTATATTTCTTGTGCCCGTCGTCTCGTACCATTGACCAGTCGCCGAGGTTTATTCTGAGGAAGCCTCTGCCTCTCATGCATCAATTAAGATCGTTCTCCAATGGTTTGGCATTTTAGATCATGTTCAACCGTGTTCATATTTGTTGACATGGTAGGCCATTGGAACGTCTCTATTACTTCTTGTTGGAGTCTTTCACTAGGCGGGCTGTGTGTATTTTGGCATTGCCACCCATTAGAAAAGGCCAATCTCTCATTGGATGGATACCCACATGATGAGGAACTAAAGGCCGAAAGATCTGGTCCCGGTTCTGCACATACATCCATCAAGGCCATACAAGCCGATTTGTTTCATACGACACCAAAACACTGTAAGGTGTGTTTTAACAAATGGAAAAATAAGTTTTGATTGAGGTTTTCATTCCTTAATTGATCGTCCATAAATTATCAACAAGCGTATACTTTTTCCTTTTTACGATAGACTAAACAACCCGATACGACTGTTGTTGTATCAGAGACACTCGTTATCCTACCAGTATACACTGTCTATCTATAATCTAGGTCATGAACTATACAAACTCTTCCTCCTGGATATCTGTATCGATGAGACTTTGTTACTGGTGAAATCTGCCGGATACATCCGTTGAATGTCAACGATCTCAGTGAGGGACACACTCAAACCTTCACGATGGAGTTTACAAAACTAGTAATGTTCTGTTTAGGTCTTTGTGTGACGGATTGTGCCACTTTGGGCTCCAATGGCTACCACTGCACGTTTCCGACCCAGTGGCAGAGTCGAGTGTACATGGACTGCGGGGCGATGATTTGGATTGCGGAACAGATGAACGCCACCGGTACCTACTTTTACGATTTCCCAAACCAACAAATGAGACTGGACATTTCTGGTTATGCGCTAGGGAATTATCACTTCTCGTTTACCTTTATTTGGAAATTCCATGAGGTAGATATTCAGTACATACACACAATCCTTTCCAAGTGATGTGAGACTAAAATAAGGTTCAAAAACCGATTCGAACGCGTGGCTTGTTACTTGTTAAGCCGTGTTTATTATTCAAAATAATTTTTTTTCGAATATTTGTTATCAAAACTTCATGAAATAAACTAAAAACGTGTTTAGAGATAAATGAGCCCTTTTAAACAGTAATTGTTTGTAGTGAGATCCATTACAGGGAGCGGTCTATACCATAGACAACAATAACAGTACTTGTGACAGAGAGGCGGACACCATTCAAGTATGGAATCAGTGGGCCGGAGTACCCCGTAAGTATAGGTGAAGTGTGTAGTATCGGGTGAGTAATGGCGAGGCGGAGTATCTCGTAAGTATAGGCGGAGTGTAGTATCGGGTAAGTAATGGCGAGGCGGAGTACCTCGTAAGTATGGGCGGAGTGTAGTATCGGGTAAGTAATGGCGAGACGGAGTGTAGTATCGGGTAAGTAATGGCGAGGCGGAGTACCTCGTAAGTATGGGCGGAGTGTAGTATCGGGTAAGTAACGGCGAGGCGGAGTACCTCGTAAGTATGGACGGAGTGTAGTATCGGGTAAGTAATGGCGAGACGGAGTGTAGTATCGGGTAAGTAATGGTGAGGCGGAGTATCTCGTAAGTATGGGCGGAGTGTAGTATCGGGTAAGTAACGGCGAGGCGGAGTACCTCGTAAGTATGGGCGGAGTGTAGTATCGGGTAAGTAATGGCGAGACGGAGTGTAGTATCAGGTAAGTAATGGCGAGGCGGAGTACCTCGTAAGTATGGGCGGAGTGTAGTATCGGGTAAGTAATGGCGAGGCGGAGTACCTCGTAAGTATGGGCGGAGTGTATCATCGGGTAAGTAATGGCGAGGCGGAGTATCTCGTAAGTATGGGCGGAGTGTAGTATCGGGTAAGTAATGGCGAGGCGGAGTGTAGTATCTGGTAAGTAATGGCGAGGCGGAGTACCTCGTAAGTATAGGCGGAGTGTATTATCGGGTAAGTAATGGTGAGGCGGAGTATCTCGTAAGTACGGGCGTAGTGTAGTATCGGGTAAGCAATGGCGAGGCGGAGTACCTCGTAAGTATGGGCGGAGTGTAGTATCTGGTAAGTAATGGCGAGGCGGAGTACCTCGTAAGTATAGGCGGAGTGTAGTATCGGGTAAGTAATGGCGAGGCGGAGTATCTCGTAAGTACGGGCGGAGTGTAGTATCGGGTAAGTAATGGCGAGGCGGAGTACCTCGTAAGTATAGGCGGAGTGTAGTATCGGGTAAGTAATGGCGAGGCGGAGTATCTCGTAAGTACGGGCGGAGTGTAGTATCGGGTAAGCAATGGCGAGGCGGAGTATCTCGTAAGTATGGGCGGAGTGTGTAGTATCGGGTAAGTAATGGCGAGACGGAGTGTAGTATCGGGTGAGTAATGGCGAGGCTGAGTGTAGTATCGGGTGAGTATTGGCGAGGCGGAGTACCTCGTAAGTATGGGCGGAGTGTAGTATCTGGTAAGTAATGGCGAGGCGGAGTACCTCGTAATAATGGGCGGAGTGTGTAGTATCGATTAGTAATGGCGAGGCGGAGTACCTCATAATTATAGGCGGAGTGTAGTATCGGGTAAGTAATGACGAGGCGGAGTACCTCGTAAGCATAGGCGGAGTGTAGTATCGGGTAAGTAATGGCGAGGCGGACTACCTCGTAAGTATGGACGGAGTGTAGTATCGGGTAAGTAATGGTGAGGCGGAGTACCTCGTAAGTATGGACGGAGTGTAGTATCGGGTAAGTAATGGCGGGGCGGAGTGTAGTATCGGGTAAGTAATGGCGAGGCGGAGTACCTCGTAAGTATGGGCGGAGTGTAGTATCTGGTAAGTAATGGCGAGGTGGAGTACCTCGTAATAATGGGCGGAGTGTGTAGTATCGGGTAAGTAATGGCGAGGCGGAGTACCTCATAATTATAGGCGGAGTGTAGTATCGGGTAAGTAATGACGAGGCGGAGTACCTCGTAAGCATAGGCGGAGTGTAGTATCGGGTAAGTAATGGCGAGGCGGAGTAACTCGTAAGTATGGACGGAGTGTAGTATCGGGTAAGTAATGGCGGGGCGGAGTGTAGTATCGGGTGAGTAATGGCGAGGCGGAGTACCGGGTTAGTAAAGGCAGAACGGACTACCGGGTAAGTAAGGGCTCGGCAGACTACCAGGTGTGTTAGTAACGGGTAAACAAGCAAGGGCAGGGCTACCTCCCGGGTAAGTAAGTGGCGGAAATGCCGGGTACGTAAAGGGGGGAGGTTGGAGGAGAGGTTGGGGAGTTGGGATGATATACGATATTCCCGTTTTTTATGCTATCTATATATATTCATTTGTAGAGGACGCTGTGGGCTTGACGTTCGGTGGATTGGGTGATTATAAAGTGATAACAGCACGGTACTCCCTGCTCAGAAATGCTGGTGATACCAACGCTGTGGTCACACTGGATGTTAAAGAAGGTCAGTATGTCCTTACATAACCTTATAAAAAAAGTAAAATGTTTCCGCTAAACAGTCTCGAAAAGTCAAGATGATTTATATGAATACGTCAGAAGTAAAATAAAGTGGAATGAATTGTGAACAGTTCGTCGTCCGTCCAACTTCAACATCTTTTACAGCAATCATTTAAGCTATAATTTGTTCAATACAAAAGTAACTGTGTTCCGTTTGGGGTCAAATATTAACATAGTCTGCGTTAAGAAATAAGACCCTTGATTGAAGGTGATCCAAGTTTAGATTTATTCTATACGACAATGAAAGGTTTCAACAGACACACATATGATATTTATACCAACCTATTAAAATATATAAAAAATGGTAAAAATTATAGAATGATTGTTCCGTCTTGACTTTCATCGACTCTCGACTCATATAACATGTAAACCTTATTGATATAGAGATCTCAGTAAGATAAGCTGTGAATCACTATTGGTGAATACAAAATGCAAAATTGAAATAATAAAAGAACGCAACGCTGATTTAATAAGAATATTTTCCTTGAATTCTAAATATCATGGCTATCGATAGAAGAACCCCTCTATAACTGGACGTTAACAAAATAACTCATTTCATAATAACATTTTTTTTATCTCACATGTGTGTCATTTTAGGTAGTGTCTGTTCCCCTCTGCGCGTGTCATTCCAAGATGAACACCTGGATCCTATATCTGGGGAAATGGTTAATTATGAATTTCTGGACGCCATGCCACTCAGTGATCCTGCTGTGTTTAGGACCCCAGCACACTGTGCCAATAATACCGTACAGGTAAGTGTATTCCAACTGAGACAATAAATAAAAAGGTTGATAAACAAATTAAGCCATATTGTTTTCTGTAATATGTATTCTTGAAATAAGATAAACAAAATATATTTTCTCTCACATTTTTATTTATCTTTTCTTATATGCTAGGCTTGATAACCATGACACTATATTGTTTTATCGAGACGATGACAATTATACCTGTGTTATTTGTATTATACGTGTGTAATTATTGTTTTATCGAGACGATGACGTGTGTAATTATTGTTTTATCGAGACGATGACGTGTGTAATTATTGTTTTATCGAGACGATGACGTGTGTAATTATTGCTTTTATCGAGACAATGACGTGTGTAATTCTTATTTTATCAAGATGATGACGTGTGTAATTATTGTTTTTATCGAGACGATGACGTGTGTAATTATTGTTTTATCGAGACGATGACGTGTGTAATTATTGTTTTATCGAGACGATGACGTGTGTAATTATTGTTTTATCGAGATGATGACGTGTGTAATTATTGTTTTATCGAGACGATGACGTGTGTAATTATTGTTTTATCGAGACGATGACGTGTGTAATTATTGTTTTATCGAGACGATGACGTGTGTAATTATTGTTTTATCGAGACGATGACGTGTGTAATTATTGTTTTATCGAGACGATGACGTGTGTAATTATTGTTTTATCGAGACGATGACGTGTGTAATTATTGTTTTATCGAGACGATGACGTGTGTAATTATTGTTTTATCGAGACGATGACGTGTGTAATTATTGTTTTATCGAGACGATGACGTGTGTAATTATTGTTTTATCGAGACGATGACGTGTGTAATTATTGTTTTTATCGAGACGATGACGTGTGTAATTATTGTTTTATCGAGACGATGACGTGTGTAATTATTGTTTTTATCGAGACGATGACGTGTGTAATTATTGTTTTTATCGAGATGATGACGTGTGTAATTATTGTTTTTATCGAGACGATGCCGTGTGTAATTATTGTTTTTATCGAGACGATGACGTGTGTAATTATTGTTTTATCGAGACGATGACGTGTGTAATTATTGTTTTTATCGAGACGATGACAATTATACCTGTTTTATCGAGACGATGACGTGTGTAATTATTGTTTTTATCGAGACGATGACGTGTGTAATTATTGTTTTATCGAGATGATGACGTGTGTAATTATTGTTTTTATCGAGACGATGACGTGTGTAATTAATTATTGTTTTATCGAGACGATGACGTGTGTAATTATTGTTTTATCGAGACGATGACGTGTGTAATTATTGTTTTATCGAGACGATGACAATTATACCTGTGTTATTTTTATTATACGTGTGTAATTATTGTTTTTATCGAGACGATGACGTGTGTAATTATTGTTTTTATCGAGACGATGACGTGTGTAATTATTGTTTTTATCGAGACGATGACGTGTGTAATTATTGTTTTATCGAGACGATGACGTGTGTAATTATTGTTTTATCGAGACGATGACGTGTGTAATTATTGTTTTATCGAGATGATGACGTGTGTAATTATTGTTTTTATCGAGACGATGACGTGTGTAATTATTGTTTTTATCGAGACGATGACGTGTGTAATTATTGTTTTATCGAGACGATGACGTGTGTAATTATTGTTTTATCGAGACGATGACGTGTGTAATTATTGTTTTATCGAGACGATGACGTGTGTAATTATTGTTTTATCGAGACGATGACGTGTGTAATTATTGTTTTATCGAGACGATGACGTGTGTAATTATTGTTTTTATCGAGACGATGACGTGTGTAATTATTGTTTCATCGAGACGATGTGTGTAATTATTGTTTTATCGAGACGATGACGTGTGTAATTATTGTTTTATCGAGACGATGACGTGTGTAATTATTGTTTTATCGAGACGATGACGTGTGTAATTATTTTTTTATCGAGACGATGACGTGTGTAATTATTGTTTTATCGAGACGATGACGTGTGTAATTATTGTTTTATCGAGACGATGACGTGTGTAATTATTGTTTTATCGAGACAGTTGTACCTGTGTAATTATTGTTTTATCGAGACGATGACGTGTGTAATTATTGTTTTATCGAGACGATGACGTGTGTAATTATTGTTTTATCGAGACGATGACGTGTGTAATTATTGTTTTATCGAGACGATGACGTGTGTAATTATTGTTTTATCGAGACGATGACGTGTGTAATTATTGTTTTATCGAGACGATGACGTGTGTAATTATTGTGTGTAATTATTGTTTTATCGAGACGATGACGTGTGTAATTATTGTTTTTATCGAGACGATGACGTGTGTAATTATTGTTTTATCGAGACGATGACGTGTGTAATTATTGTTTTATCGAGACGATGACGTGTGTAATTATTGTTTTATCGAGACGATGACGTGTGTAATTATTGTTTTATCGAGACGATGACGTGTGTAATTATTGTTTTATCGAGACGATGACGTGTGTAATTATTGTTTTTATCGAGACGATGACGTGTGTAATTATTGTTTTATCGAGACGATGACGTGTGTAATTATTGTTTTATCGAGACGATGACGTGTGTAATTATTGTTTTATCGAGACGATGACGTGTGTAATTATTGTTTTTATCGAGACGATGACGTGTGTAATTATTGTTTTATCGAGACGATGACGTGTGTAATTATTGTTTTATCGAGACGATGACGTGCGTAATTATTGTTTTATCGAGACGATGACGTGTGTAATTATTGTTTTATCGAGACGATGACGTGTGTAATTATTGTTTTATCGAGACGATGACGTGTGTAATTATTGTTTTATCGAGACGATGACGTGTGTAATTATTGTTTTATCGAGACAATGACGTGTGTAATTATTGTTTTATCGAGACGATGACGTGTGTAATTATTGTTTTATCGAGACGATGACGTGTGTAATTATTGTTTTTATCGAGACGATGACGTGTGTAATTATTATTTTATCGAGATGATGACGTGTGTAATTATTGTTTTTATCGAGACGATGACGTGTGTAATTATTATTTTATGATGACGTGTGTAATTATTGTTTTATCGAGACGATGACGTGTGTAATTATTGTTTTTATCGAGACGATGACGTGTGTAATTATTGTTTTTATCGAGACGATGACGTGTGTAATTATTGTTTTATCGAGACGATGACAATTATACCTGTGTTATTTGTATTATACGTGTGTAATTATTGTTTTTATCGAGACGATGACGTGTGTAATTATTGTTTTATCGAGACGATGACGTGTGTAATTATTGTTTTATCGAGACGATGACGTGTGTAATTATTGTTTTATCGAGACGATGACGTGTGTAATTATTGTTTTATCGAGACGATGACGTGTGTAATTATTGTCTTTATCGAGACGATGCCTTGTTTAATTATTGTTTTTATCTAGACTTTGAAGTTTGTAATTATTGTTTTATGATGACGTGTGTAATTATTGTTTTATCGAGACAGTTGTACCTGTGTAATTATTGTTTTATCGAGATGATGACGTGTGTAATTATTGTTTTATCGAGATGATGACGTGTGTAATTATTGTTTTATCGAGATGATGACGTGTGTAATTATTGTTTTATCGAGAAGATGACGTGTGTAATTATTGTTTTATCGAGACGATGACGTGTGTAATTATTGTTTTATCGAGACGATGACGTGTGTAATTATGACGTGTGTAATTATTGTTTTTATCGAGACGATGACGTGTGTAATTATTGTTTTATCGAGACGATGACGTGTGTAATTATTGTTTTATCGAGACGATGACGTGTGTAATTATTGTTTTATCGAGACGATGACGTGTGTAATTATTGTTTTATCGAGACGATGACGTGTGTAATTATTGTTTTATCGAGACGATGACGTGTGTAATTATTGTTTTTATCGAGACGATGACGTGTGTAATTATTGTTTTATCGAGACGATGACGTGTGTAATTATTGTTTTATCGAGACGATGACGTGTGTAATTATTGTTTTATCGAGACGATGACGTGTGTAATTATTGTTTTATCGAGACGATGACGTGTGTAATTATTGTTTTATCGAGACGATGACGTGTGTAATTATTGTTTTATCGAGACGATGACGTGTGTAATTATTGGTTTTATCGAGACGATGACGTGTGTAATTATTGTTTTATCGAGACGATGACGTGTGTAATTATTGTTTTATCGAGACAGTTGTACCTGTGTAATTATTGTTTTATCGAGACGATGACGTGTGTAATTATTGTTTTATCGAGACAGTTGTACCTGTGTAATTATTGTTTTATCGAGACGATGACGTGTGTAATTATTGTTTTATCGAGACGATGACGTGTGTAATTATTGTTTTATCGAGACGATGACGTGTGTAATTATTGTTTTATCGAGACGATGACGTGTGTGTTTTATACGTGTGTAATTATTGATGTCTCGAGAAGATGACGTGTGTAATTATTGTTTTATCGAGACGATGACGTGTGTAATTATTGTTTTATCGAGACGATGACGTGTGTAATTATTGTTTTATCGAGACGATGACGTGTGTAATTATTGTTTTATCGAGACGATGACGTGTGTAATTATTGTTTTATCGAGACGATGACGTGTGTAATTATTGTTTTATCGAGACGATGACGTGTGTAATTATTGTTTTATCGAGACGATGACGTGTGTAATTATTGTTTTATCGAGACGATGACGTGTGTAATTATTGTTTTATCGAGACGATGACGTGTGTAATTATTGTTTTATCGAGATGATGACGTGTGTAATTATTGTTTTATCGAGACGATGACGTGTGTAATTATTGTTTTATCGAGACGATGACGTGTGTAATTATTGTTTTATCGAGACGATGACGTGTGTAATTATTGTTTTATCGAGACGATGACGTGTGTAATTATTGTTTTATCGAGACGATGACGTGTGTAATTATTGTTTTATCGAGACGATGACGTGTGTAATTATTGTTTTATCGA